CCGTGACATGAAGATTAACCTTTATGCAATCGATGGGTTTTAGACTCAGTTGAGTTGACCTGACGCCGTTCTTATCAGCATTGGTCAGATTAAAATTCAGGATCATAAACGCAGATAATACCTTTAGGCCTAAGTTTATTTTCTGGTAAATTATAAAATGTATAAAATATTTTGATCTGATTTCATGTTAGCTTTTGCTGACAGACTACTAATATTATTTCGTAACTGTCCATCTATATTTGGGCAGGATATTTCTCCTTCAGGTCAGATACGTTTTTAGTTTCTGTAAATCAATATGCTAGCAAATATTTCACAAAGGCCTTTTTCTGATATGATTCTTTGAGAAGTTAACGAATTCAAACAGGAAAAATTACAAATTCTAAAATTATTCCACATTATGCTCCTATCCTAAAGGTTGTTTTAGGCCAGTTAATAGGTCCAAAATTGCGTGAATCGCGCGCGGACCGAATCACGATTTGTAGCTGTCAAATTCTCTGCTACAGCCTTTCGTGGCAAGTGGACTGGGTGGTTTGTTAAAAAGGTCGATAAATCCAGGGGCAGTACTGTCAGCTTGTATTTCTAAAAGTATCGGACCACACGGGGTCCTCTAAATTGCTCTATTTTGCCATGGAGTGTAGGCATCAATTTCCAAAATGGCTACGGACCTCCTAACTGTTTTGAGGGGTGATTTTCTCTGGAGCTCGGAGAGAAATATCTTCAAAGGTCATCAGTTAAGCCACTGAAAATTGAAAGGGTCGATGAAAGATAAAGAAGTGGGCTATATTTTGATATATACCTTAAACATCCGTGAAACTTGTGAGTAGTTTTTTCCTGAATTTTTTCAGTGAAGTAGGGATATTTATCACTGTTGTCTATGGCAATTAGTTATTTACTGGTCTCGATCCCTGGGGGTACAGTCCACTGATTCAAACCCAACTGAAAACAGTGCAAAATCAGCACTGTTCAGGGCCCAATAACATGCACGCCAACATCCCTGATATTTCTGAAACACAAATGAAAGTCTTGTCTGGTCACTAATCTTTCAATTTCTTTTCAATTTTTATGGGTTAACCAAATACATTTTTAATTATTCCCACAAAACAAAATCACCCCCAAAAAGTGATTTTTCCGAAGTCAGGTTGCAGCCATTTTTCAAGTGGCAAGCCTTAACTTTGTGCGGCACTTAGGACCATTTTTCGACCGTAGTTTATAGTCATTGTGCTTTCATACGAAAGCTCAAAGACCCAGGGAGTTGATCTTGGCAAAGATTTACACAATCTCACCGTTTTGGGGGCCAAAATATCTCCTTGCTCAAAAGATACTGCGGGGGCACTTTTAATGCTAATGAGCTGGCCAGAAATTCTCACTTGAATTCGTGGTCTGCGCCCCTAGGAGTCATGAAGCGCGCCACCAGGGGTTAACTTTCAGGCTCTATGTTGTGGTACGCAACAAAATCGCCCTGGCCCTGGGTTAACGCGCGGTT